GGCCTACGCGCTCTCCTGACCATTTACACGGAGTGCTACAGAGCCGGGAAGGAGAGCGGGTCTCCACAGCAGATCCTCTCAGCCTTGTACAGCTCGGACAAGGTTCTGGAGTCAGACACACCAGCCTGCAGTCCTGCCTCTGTCCCTTTTGCAGCCTAAGCACATACCCCTAAACCTGAGTTTCTCCACCAGAAAACTACAAAGACACTCTGTACAGCTTAACTCAAATGAGATGTGTACAGTAGGAGGCACAGTCTGGCTTTGCAATGAAAGAAAATAGATACCCTAATGACTACTCACCAGCCTCCCACACCCCAGGAAAGTTTCGATTGCCACTCATGTGTGCTTCTCCTGAAGCTCTTATTAAATTGTGTTGTAAGTATCTTCCTACACATTTGACTTTCTCTCTAGGGCGATAACCACTGTAAAATGAAAGGTTATGTAGATAATAGAAATGGAAGTGTTTTCTGAGCTACAAACTACCATTCAAATGTTAGTTACGGCAGAGGGGCTTGACCTCCATCAGGAGGCTTGAGAGCTGAGATGCGGGAAGATGGTAAATGGCAGCCAGGAAGGAGGTGGGACTTGCGCTCCACTAATAACCCAGAGAAGAAGGAGGGTGGAGGCCTTCCCGCATGTAACAAGACTGGAGGAGATATGGCTCGGGCATTAGAAAGAGGCCAAGATTGCACTGGTGTTTAGGAATCTTTGTTAGAGTTGAGCTTCCAAAATTAGAGATGATGCTCTCTTTTGGATCTGGGGTGTAGGTGGAATGAGATGAAAGCCGCAGGGCAGACAGGTGTCAAGGACTTCCTGGAGTCTTTGGTTCTTATTCACATCAATGTTAAGCAACGCTCGGATATTCCCTGCACAGCATCCCTTGCTGGGAAAAGGAGGCAGGGCGGCCCCTGTGGCCCGGGGAGCCTAGGTGCCTGCGCTGCCCTGTCCTTGGGGTAGGCATGGGGTGGGGGTAGAGGGGCAGTGTCCAACCCTGCACAACCACTGGTTGCGGCCTGCCTGGGGGACTGCTTCCCAGAGGAGGGCACGTGATGCCCACAGCCTCGTTCTCCTCCTTTCCTCAAGGCAGCAATGGTGGGCCAGTGGTCACCTCCTGTTCTGATTCTTTGACTGCATTGGGGCTGGAAACCCACTCCCCACTTCCCACATCATGAAGTCATTCCCTTCTTTGATAGAATCACTAGAGCGATAGCAAGCACAACTTCGACACCAGCAGGAACTAACTCCTCACATGGATTTTGACAAGCTGCAAGCCCTCTTCTTTTGTCACTTAATGTAGTCTGTCTTCTGGGAAGGGCCATGCACGGAACAACAGACAATAGTGGCAGTCAGCTAACTGCGCTTGTTTCTGCTCTATTTACGATAAAGCCATCTCGTCACGGGGAAACAGTGGTGTTGCATGAGACTCCCATGAGTCATTGTGTGTTGGTCTTCAGGAACAAACAGAGTGACTATTGTCCCTGCCTAACTGTTACCAGTGACACCCCCATTTCACCCTTGTAGGTGGCCTTGTTTACACGATGAATTAGATGGTACCCCTCCTCTAATAGCCATGCGTATCCAACTGTCGAGAGGCCTAAGAGACCTACGTTTTTCTGACAAGATTGATTTAAGTGAAAGGTAGATCACCGAGACTAATAAGAATCAGAAAACCAAATGAAAAAAATTAAAGAAAACGCCACAGGATACCACGACCAAGAATGTCAAATTTCAATAAAAAATTTATAAAATATTCGGTTGCAAAAGTGATATATTCAGCTTGAGTTCTGCAAGTCAAGAGCTTGGAAGGCATCACTCCATCCTAACAACAAGAGAAAAGGTGAACAAGTGAAAAATCAACTCTTCCAGATTCATGAGAGAGGTGCGGACACAGGGAAACCACTGCCGCTGTAACTGGAGAGACAGACACACAGGCGACTGCAGGGATCGGGCCTCCCTGGAGCAGAGCCCGGGGAGCAGAACCGCTGGGGGAACCTGAACCGGAATTGATGCTTTGCTGGCGGCTCAGCGAGGGTAACTCTGAGAGTAAACCCTCCAGGGCAACCTAGGTAGAGGGGGTCTCTACCTATATGGTGAGATTGACCTGCAGGGGCTCAGCCAGGTTCTCACAGAAAACATCTGAGAGCATCCCCCGCCGGCTTCCAGCAGGGGGAGCACTGTGTTCTTAACCTGGCCTGGGGAAGGGAAACAAGCCAACTCCAGCCTGCTGTGGTTATCCTTTTCCTCTTGAGGGGAGAGAAAAATACTGAGAAATACCTGTGACATTCACAGTCCAGACACACAAAGGCGTGCTAATGACCTAGCCGTAATCATAAGACAATAGAAGTCTTCCCTTCCCCCTGCATGTCACCGCCACATTACTAAGGCCTGTGTGCAGTAGGTCCTTTCACTCTGGACGTCATTTTCTGCTTTGAAGAAAACTCACAAGGCACACCAAAGAGCACAACACAGTTTGAAGAGACAGAGCAAACATCAGAGCCAGATGTGGCAGTGAGTTGGAGTCCTTACGCTGGGCACTTAAACAACTAGGATTAATAGGCTAAGGGCCCTATGCATAAAGCAGACGGCATGTAAGAACGGATGGGCGATGAGAACAGAGACATGGGAATCCTAAGAGAGAGCAACAAGCAGTGGTAGGTTTTAAAAACACTGCAACGGAAACGAAGAATGCCTTTGGTGAGCTTCTCAGTAAATAGGACATGGTTGAGCTAAAGGACATAAATATATGTCCTTTATAAATAGAATATCTGAAAACCAAAAGGCAGAGAACAATATCTGAAAAAGAAGAAAGAAACAATATATCCAAGCGCTGTGGGACAGTTACAAAACCATCAAGATACATATGCAGGAATATCAGAAGGAGCAAGGACCAGAGGAAATATTTGAAATAATGACTGAGAATTTTCCATTTAATGTCAGAGAGGAAGCCACAGATCCAGGAAGTTCAAAAAACAACCAGCAGGGTAAGTACCCCAAACCCCCTACATTTAGGCATATACAGAAAAACAAAGATAAAGAAAAACTCCTGAAAGAAGCCACAGGAAGAAAATACCTTACCTATACAGGAACAAAGAGAAAAATCACATCCAACTTCCCAGAACCCATGTGAACAAGAAGAAAGGGGCTGAAATACTTAAGGTGTATAGAGAGACAACAAAACCACCATTCTAAGTTCTATACCCTGTGAAATTATCCTGCAACAGTAAAGGAGAAAACAAATCTTAGACAAACAAAAAATTGGGAGTATTTGTTGGCACACACCTGTTTTGTAAGAAGCATTTGAAGAAGTTCTTCCAAGAGAAGGAAAATAATAAGGATAGAAACTTAGACCTACACAGAGAAAGGAAGTGTGGTGAAGAGGAACGAATGAAGATGAAACTGCGTCAAGAGCAACACCAGAATTGTGCCGGGGAAATTCAGCTTCACCACACTGGACCCGAGTCCCAGCAGCCATGCAGCCTGCTCTCCCCAGCCAGCGTCCACCCGTCAGTCTCCGCCTGTTCGTCCTGCCCCTGCTTTATATTGTTTCCTTTGTATTGCGTTTATTGGGATGACACTGGTTAACAAAATTATACAGGTTTCAGGACCGCAGTCCACAACACATCATCTGTACACTGTACTGTGTGTTCACCTCTCCAAGTCAGTCTCCCCTGCTTCGTTTGGACCAAGGTTCACTCTTCTGAGACTCAGTCACACCCCCGGACCCCCGCCCCCGCCATCCCCTCTACCTGCGCTTCTCTTAGTGCCTTCGGATGGCCACAGTATGAGAAAGTTCTGTTGTGACTGAGGAGGTTACGTGCTGATTTTTCTACCTCTTTGACAAATAACTACAATTGGCCTTCCTCTGTAAATCCAGTTTTACTGTTATTCTCATTCGTTGGAATTCTCCTCAATTCCTTGTTCAAGGGGAAGTTTAATGGCAGTTTTCAATTTATTTACTTCTTGCCCGGCTTGCGACACTGGGGCTGAACCCTGGACTCCCTCCACCTGTGCAGGCTGGGCACGATGCTAAGCTTTGTCTGTAGAGGGGCTGAAGGAAGAGCAGGAAACGAAGACATCTGTCCCAGTTTCCCTGTGCTTGTTGTGTTCCTTCTAGCTCTTGGGCTGCTCTTCTCATGATCAGGGCATGCGGTGGCACTCACCCCGAGCGTTGGAGGTATCCCCAGGCCACTAAACGTGCCTCGCCTGCATCCGCTGTGTGTTCAGCAGCATCCTGCCTGTGTGAGAGGTGCTGCCTAACAGCTTACCACAGACCGGGCAGCTTATACCACAGAAACTTCTCTCTCACATTTATGGAGGTTGGGAAGTACCAGGCCAAGATATGAACCCATATGGTTCCTGGTGGGAGCTCTCTTCCTGGCTTCCAGATGGCCCCCTACTCACTGCGTGCTCCGGGGCAGAAAGAGAGAGCAAGCTCTCTGGCGTCTCTGATATTAGGAGGACACTAATCCTCTTGGACCAGAGCTCCACACTTGTGGCCTCACGTAACCTTAAGCTCTTCCTTAACCCATAGACAGTCACATGGGCAGATAGAGCTTCAACATATCCATTTTGGGGGATGGGGGCACAGACCTAATTCCGTCCAGAGCACAGCCCCTTTCATGGCCACTTTCAGGGAGCTGAGAGGCATTCTATGCCCCGCACCCCTGCCCCGCACCCCCCGTCAGAGGCCAGAGGGCGGTCTGTGAGTGGCAGGATCCAAGCAGCACTCCCGGGAGTTCAACAGCAACCCAGACAGTGTCCTGCCCCGTTTCATTGGCACCTTCTGCTTGTTTGTCCGCTCTGGCTTCTGACACCCAGCCATATTTACCAGCCTGCCATTGAGCTACAGACTTTCCAATAAGATCTAGACCTCAGCACTGTGAGTTCAGTAAGCCCTTAGCAGTCAAAACCTATTACCCTATTCTTAAGGGTGTCCATCCATTGCCCGTTTATATCAAAGAGGCAGTCCTTATACAGGGAATAACACACAGTTTTCAACATTCAATCTCTAAGCATTTATTACACATAGATTACGTGCCCTTTATCAGCATCTGGACAGGTCAAACTCAATGACTCGGTGTCCCTGACCTCAGGGGCTCAAGGCCCAGGCTCCCAAGAGCACAGCGAGAGAGCTCAGTACTTGTCGGGCAGGCCGGCAGGTCTGAAGTGATTGGGGTCTTTGCCGCTCCGGCCCCATCGGTTGGCTTCCTGGTCGGCCCTCGAGTCCTCTGCTCCGTGGCCGCTGTCTCCATGCTTAAAAAAGTCAAGGCTGCTCTGAATACCCTCTCTGGCATCGCTGCAATGGAGGGGACCAGGTAGGAGGTGACTCAGGGGCTGAGGAGAAGCAGCCCCGCTTCCCAATCTCCCCCTTTCCAAGGGAGCAGTGACTCTGAGAGGAAAGACTGATTCTACTCAGCCCAGACCGATCTCCACTCCTGGAATGACACCTTTAGAAGGGGGTTGGGACTCAGTCCATGGCCTCAGTTTCTCTTCAGGGACAGGTGCACACATCTTTATAAGCCATGCCCTGGCCTGCTGGCACCCAGGCCCTGCGCTGGCCATGCATGGAGGGGTGGACAGGAAGAAGATGAGGAGAACCCCACAGCCCCGACAGGGTCCTTCTCTAGGGCTACGCCCTCCAGATCCCCAGCGTCACCCAGCTCTGCTCGTCCGTCCTGCATCCCCAGGAGCCCGGTACCTGATCACTTCAGCAGCCCAGGCGCCCCCAGGTCCCCTCCGGGCAGCGTCATAGTTCCCCCGGGCGTGGAAGTATTTATCTGCACCTATGTAATTGGCTTCCCTCATGTCAGAGTAGGCTCTCCACATGTCTCTCGCCCCTAGGAAGGAAAGGACATGGCACAGGATAAGAGGTGAAATATCAGAGAACTGTGATATGATTAGAGAAGGGTCAAGGACTGAAACTCCACCACCGACTCATTTAGGCCTGTGGTCACAGCACCCTGGACACCGTAGGCTGAGAAGACTCCAGGTGGTTTGTCCAGGGTGCTCTAACAGGAGTCATTCCGGTGGGACTCTGCTCTGTTGTACTGGTGCTCTGAGCCCTAGGATGCTATCTAAGGCTCCATCTCACTTAGGCCTCTGACTTACGTTGAAAGGAAGGAAGGGGGGTGCCTTACAGAACCGGATTTCTCAACATCAGCACTATTGAAATATGGGGCCAGTGAATTCCTCCTTCTCCTGGCCCTCCCGAGTAGTGTAGAGTGTTCACCAGAGTCCCTGCCTCTCTGTCCATGAGATCCAGGCTCCACACTCCCCAGCGTGACCACCAAAATTGTACTATACATGGCAGATGTCCCGGGGAGCAAAATAGCTCAAGATCGACAGCCTGTGTTACAGAGGGAAGCTGCACATGATGCAGTCGGGGAGCTTGAGGAGCGCAGCGGTGACGTGGAAAGCAGACTCTGAGAAAGGCTCGGACACACAGCACTTCCGCCTGCCGCCTACAGTGTGTAACCTCGCAGACAATTGCGCGAAACTGTGACTGGAGGTCCTCCAAGTGTGGGGGCATATGGGACACCCTGGAAACTTTGTAAATAGACTGGACCAATGATGAGGACATGAGCAAGCCAGCGCTGGAGCCGGGGTCCTTTTTCTCAGCCTTGGCTGCACTTTCTAATCACTGGGAACATTTTGAAGTCCGCGGCCACATCTCAGGCCAGTTACATCGGATTCTCACGGGTCGGTCTCAGGTGTGAATAGTCCTTACTGCTCTGCAGGTGACCCAGCCTGTAGCTGAGAGTGACACCCACGGAGCTCTAGAGAGTGGTGCTGAGGCACATCTAGGTGGCCTCATGCACAGCTGGTTCCAACTCCACTCTGTGACGGGAAGACTGGAGGGCAGCCTCTGACTCAGCTGCTCTGAGCCTCACGGTTGGGGAAGGTGCTGCCTCACCAAGTTCTTCTCCACTGAACGTGGGTGCCCAGCTGCCCCAGCTTGGCCACAACTGTGCCTGTGGGCACTGAAAATATCGTGGGGAACTCCTCAGACCCGGGCAGCCCAGGACAGATGCTCACCCCAAGTGCACAAGGAGTTCCTGGAGGAGCCTCGATGGATTCCTAGTTCCCTGTCTGCGAGTAAAGGCTGGAAAAGGGCAGCAAGCTGCCTAAAGCAGGGACAGTGTCACTGAGTCTAGGGAGCCCCCGCAGCAGCTAAGCTGCAGGTCTCTCCAAAGTATCCACTTAGGAAATGGGGGAGGGGTGGGGGAGGAGGGGAGAAAGTAAAAGAGAGAGAGCGAAGAGGGGGAGGGGGAGAAAAGGGAGAAGCTTTAATGATACTTGGTGCAGTTTGTTCTGAGGGAACTTTTATACCATTTGAAGACTTATTCTTCAAATTCTGTGTCTGTGTCTTATTTGAAGAATAAGTCTTCAAATGGTATAAAACTTCCCTGTGTCTCCTGGTCCAGTTAACCTTTCAGCCGGGAATGGTGAATGTTCTCTCTGTAGGAACTGATTGAAAGAAATCCTGGAGTTTTCACTGCGTTTGATGAAAAGCTCCCCACACATCTGGCACATTCTACCACGTCGGCCACGCAGCCTAAGACAGGAGCCCCGATCCCGAACAGCACGCAGGGTGAATCCACGGGCCCACGGATGCCACCCCCTCCAGTGACTTTACCATCATAGGCCTCGCGAAAGAAGGAGAAGAAGCCTTGGCTGCTGACACCCAGGACCAGGGAGCAGAACACGAGGCCTGTGAAGAGCTTCATGGCGCTGGAAGGAAAGGGGAGGGTCAGGGAGACACGGGCAAGGCGGGCGCGCCCCGCTCTGGGATTCCCGCGGCAGCGAGCGCCTGGCGGAGCATTTGCATTCGTTCTCCGGGGACGCGCGCTGTCGGTCTCAGAACATCGCAGCAGGACACGTGTCAGAGCCACGGCCCTCACTTCTGCACCCATCAAGCCCGAACCCAAGACTGCGGAAGAGGTCGCGTAGGGGCCGTGATGGAGCAAGAGGGCAGCGAGGGCCAAATGGGTCCTCCTGAAGCAGCCTGCAGTTCATCAGAAAGCATTTCCCCTGCGCCCCTCTGCCAGCGCGGACCCCATACACACAAATACCAAACAGAACCCTTATTTTAAATGCAGGTGCAATCTTGCTGGGAAAGAGAAACCGAGTAAGACTTTGAAAGCGGTCCCTCACCTGGTTCGCGTGGAATGAGGAGCTGGTCCCTGTCTGCTGGGGGCAGGGGGCAGCTATTTATGTGCCCTGAGCCCTCCCTGCTGGGGACGTGGGGAGGGAAGAAGAACCAGACTTGGCACCTGGGGAAAGTCCCTCCAGGTCACTTCTCCCACAAAAGGACAAAGGCACACTTACTGGACACCAGTGGCTTCATCCCCAGGTCACTTCCCCGTTGCGCAACCCCAGGACACCGGGGAGGCTGCTCTGTCCCGGCAGCCACGTGTCAGAGGGCGGCTCTGCCGACGGAGTTGGAGGGGCTGAGGCGGGGCCGCCGGGGCTGTGGAGCGAAGGGCGCGGAGCTCCGGCAGGGGGCGCCCGGGCTGCGGGGCGCTGTGCGGTTGGAGGACGTCTCCTCCTGCCAGGGCCTTGCTTCCCTGGTCATTTCCTCAGGATGGGCTCCGCGGGGCCAGATGGCGGGTGTGCCAGAAGCGATATCTCTCTGGGGTCACGTGTAAAGCCCTTGAGCTTCCCAAGTGGCAGGCTAGCCCAGCAAATCGGGGTGCCCTGGAAGGTGCTACCACCACTCTGTCGCATTTGCTAAGCTCTCAGCTGCCAGGCACAGGAAGGCCTGCTGTGGGGGCTACACACAGGGAGTGCGATCCTAGCCGGCTGCAGAGCGGCCAGGGAGGTGCTCTGTTGTCCCTCACCTAATCCTGGAGCCCCCTCCCCGTGGGAGTGAGAGCGTTGTGTGTTACATTTGCAGCCCGGTGGGGAAGGGCCAGGCTCCCTGTTGGGGGAAAGTGCGAGTGAGCTCTGTGTGTCCAATATGACCCCTGGGGCTCCAGTCTATCCCTGGGTCACTCTGAATCAGAAACATCATCTGGGCAGCACAGCTCCTCAGGGGCAGGTGGAGGAGCAGGGGTGAGGGAGGGTCAGTTGGGCTGCCCAGCAGGGGAGAGGCCAGGAAGGAACAGAGGCTGGTGGCCACGTCAGCGCCTGCTGCTTCCTCTTCCCCAGTCCATCTTCACACCCTGAGGGTTCAGCATTGACAATGACCTATGAAAACACTTTGCAGAGGGGCAGAGCTAGGGAGGAGGTAAAGGAGATGAAATGGCCTGCAAGCAGCATCTGTGTGGCAACATCTGGGACAGCGGTGTGGTCCACTCTCTACCATGGTGGCCACTCAGCACTGTCCCCTCACCAGACACTACATCCCAGCACCTTAAACCGCCCTTGGCTCAGGGTAGAACCTGCACTACACACACACACACACACACACACACACACAGTCTAGGCAAGAGCATTGAGTTCCAAGGAATATTGAACTCACTGTGCAGGACAAGCCAACATCCAAGTAGCACATAAAAGAAAGACAGTTACTTAAAAAAAACAACAACTATATTTTACAGAATTAATGGGTTGGAGAGAAGCAAAGAAAATGTATAAAACACAATACATACTATCAATTGGGTAGAACACAATATGAAGTTAGATCAGTTTTGAAGAAGAATCAAGTGAAAATAAAATTATAAATATAATACTTACTAAAACACCTTAATAGAAATAAATAACATATCAATGCAAGTGATTAATAAATTATCTGTCATAATAGCTCCAGGAACTATCCCAAGAGGCAACAGAATTATTAGAAATTTTCAAAAGATGTAGGATAGTCATAGTATTATCTATATGAGCCCCCAAGAAGAAAGAAAACAAATTCATGACTCATAAAGAATAGGAAGACATTCTCATTTATTTGGTAATCTAGAAAAAAATATCTATTTTTGGGAAAATATAATTTCTCAAGTGGGTACATGAAGACATAGAAAAGCTAAATTGAACAATATCTCTAAGTAAATTGAAATTAGAGATATCCCCTCAAATTCCTCCAAGATGGAGACTCCATTTCACAGTTTGCTATTAGAACTATGAAGAAAATTCAGTGAGATTGCCATAGTGAAGGTAAAATATTAAAAGTGGATAGCATTTCTTGTCAACAATTGTTTTTGTTTTAAAAGATTTTATTTATTTATTTTTAGAAAGAGAGAAAGAGAGGGAGAATGAGATGGAGACACACATCGATGTGAGAGAGAAACATCAATCTGTTGCCTCCTGTCTGCTCCTCGACCTGGGACTGAACCTGCAACCCAGGCATGTGCCCTGCCCTGAAATTGAACTGGCAGCCCTTTGCTTTGAGGGATAATGCCCAATCAACTGAGCCACAGTGGTCAGGGCTCTACAACAATTCTTAACAGTTAAAAAGTACAAAACAAAATGGGACCAAAAACATTATCTATCTAGGAAAGTACCTAAGAAAATACACAAATACTTACACAGAAATCTTGAAAGTTTGTTAGGGGGTAAAAAATAGGGATGTATGTCTTCTCCATGGAGAGGATGTTTTGGCTTAGATATAAAGTATTAATTCACCCCCAAATTAATTTATACATTCAATGCAATGCTAATGAAAAATTCCCAGTGGAAAGTTTTAGGAATGCAACAAATACATTCTTAATGGATGAATAAAGGTCCATGAATAGCTAAATCAATTACAAAAGTAAGAGTGAAGAGAGGACACGTACTGGACTCTGAGATGCATGCATGGGGGTTGACCCCAGAGGGGAGACTACTGTGATGGTCTCTGTGTCTTGGGGGCAGAAGGCGTCCGGGAGATGGGAGAACAGAGAGACGTTTGCAGCACAGGTTACGCCCGCAACAGGCACCAGAGAAGCAGAGCCACACAGCTCTGAAGATCGTCTGACCCCAGGACTGAATGAAACCATTTCCCACAGGGCAGTCGGGCCCGTGGAGAAGAGAGCACTGCCCGGTGACAAACTACCTTTTCATGACAGTGATCTCTGGAGCTGTTGGCCTTGTATTGTCTGAATAATAATAAACACTGTATTTTAAAACAGAAATCTCATTGTTGCAAGTATTTCAAGCAGCAAAGAGAGCTGAAAATATTCAAAGTAGAAAACAACAACAACAAACCTCACACACACCAGCAGTGGGAGGGCAGCATCCTGGGTCAGCCTGGCAGGGATACTGGTTGAGAGGCAGGATGAGGCCTTGACCGTGACGCATGAAGAAAGTCCGGATGTGGAGCTTCTAAGTCTCATTGGAGATGGGATGCGGTTGGGTGAAGGTCTGAGGAAACACAAAGCATTTCCTTCTCTGATGATTCTCCACCTGTCTGAGGGATCCCACAGGAACACACTAGGAAGAGTGGCAGGCTGGGTGGAAGTTGAGAAACACATTTAGGACATGCTGCACCCAGATGGACCCAGGAAGCCATAGGCTCAATTGTTCCTTGACCATGAAACCTTCTCACTGATCCAAGTACCAGTATTCCACACCTTTCTCAAGTGGGAAGGGCCGGGAGGCAAGCACGTTTATATGCCAAGAAGGACAGCTATGCCAAGCAAGGACTCAAGTCATTATTATCCCCAGTGTTTCTATGAGTGACATGTGCCCCAGCTTCCCTCCTAAGATCCGGTGGGGTCAGGTTTCCTGGCTGTGAGTTCCCATCCACAGGAGTAAATGTGGTGAACTGGGAGCTCCTGGATCATGTTGAGGCTTCAGAGAAGGGGAGGGCCCTGATTCTGGGCAGTATGTCCACTCAGGAGGACACACCACTGGGATTATGGAGAGGGCTGAGTCTCCATTTAAACAGAGAATCAGGTTTTTTAAAATAAAAATTTAAATGAAATGTATTGGAGTGACATTGATTAATGTCAATGAGGTTTTTTTAAAGAGTTTATTTATTTATATTTAGAGAAAGAGGAAGGGAGGGAGAAAGAGAAGAAGAGAAACATTGATGTGTGAGACATACATCTACTGGTTGCCTCTTGATCGCTCCCAACCAGCGACCTGGCCTGCAACCCAGGCACGTGCCCTCGCTGGGATTCGAGCCAGTGACCCTTTGATTCACAGGCCGGCACTCAATCCGTTGAGCCACATCAGCCAAGGTGAAAACCATTTCTAATTAAAGGAAAAGTGGAGAGCAAATCCCTTGGACCTGAAAGGACTTTTTGTTTACTGAACCACTATGTTGTAAACCATGTCTCTTGGAAGAGTAATCAGGGAGTTCTAAAACAGCATAGAAGGCCAAACAAACAAACCTCATTTTGCTATCTAATCAGATTGAGACAGACTCTCCCGTAAATCTAAAAATTTGACTTGGCTCAGTTATAAGTGGGAAAATCCATGTTGGCTCTTATTGCTAATCAAGGCAAAGGAAAAGGAGTCTCTTTTTGACAGAACTTTTTTATTGTCCACCTAGGATGGAACCTACCTTTTCTATTTTATCAAATTGAAAAACATGCTTAACAATCTAGATATCTGAAGAGCTTAACTGGTGTAGAAGGTTTAATGATGATTTATAAGATGCACTTATTATTGATCACTTGAAATTTTGAACAACACTAAAGAATTTTGGGTACTTAAAATTTCTTTACCCCCAAAGTAGTTTTTAGTTTCACCAATACTCTACAATTCCATATGAAGTTTGGAGTTTTCAATTGGATATAATTCTTTTTTGCAAAAATATTTAAAAAGAGGAAGAATAAAATATTTTAGCCATGGCCGGTGTGGTTCATGAATAGAGAGCCAACCTGTGAACCAAAGAGTCACTGGTTCAATCCCCAGTCAGGGCACCTGCCTGAGTTGCTGGCCAGGTTCCCAGTAAAGGGCGCAGGAGAAGAAAACACACATTGATATTTCTCTCCCTGTCTTTCTCCCTCCCTTCTCCTCTCTCTAAGAAAAATAAGTAAAATCTTTAAAAAAATGTTTAAAGCATAATGCAGAGCCTTTTTGTACACTGAGAACACCAGTTCCAGATCCTAAGGGTGGCTCGCTGTTGCTGACAGTGGGCTGGTCACGGAACCCCACCCTGTGCCCCAGCCTGTCCTTTCCTTGCTTCCTTCCATCACGTGGATTGCAGGAAGCTTCAGAGGAGCAGTGAGGCTCAGCCAACAACCTTTGTCTGGCAGATTAGACAAAATACTGAGCACAGTCAGGTTTGAATCTGGGTGTCCTGGGGCCTCGAGAATGCAAACTGGGCACACCAAGCTTGGAGGAAATCGTCTTCTCTTCAGGAGGGGCTGTGGACTTTGTAAGAAGGGACAAGCAGAATCAGGAGTCCCTATACTTAATTAAATAGTTGGTCCTTTTACATTCCTG